AATCAGATTTCCAGTAAAACACACCCAACTATCCAAAGAGTGGTGACAATTTCAGCTTAATATGGTAAGGTGATAATGACCTCTACACAACATAAATATATGTGCCTCGCGTGTGCCATTCGTTATAGACCCAGGTTGATTCTTTTTTAATGTCTCTTGTGGGAGCTGTACCTGATTTTATTACCAGTTTTCAACTGAATCCATTAGAAAATGGGACAATTTTGCTTTTGGTTCTTGGCCAGGAGTCACTTAATTCCTAAAGTCTTGTGAAAATACAGTAAGGAAAAAAAAAAAAAAAACAGTAAGGGCTAAGGTTGTGCCTCAGTGGAAGACCACACAGTCAGCGTGTGGGAGGCTCTGAGCTCAATCTCCAGCAGGTAAAGGAGGAGAAGGAGGAGGAGGAAAGAGAGGACGAAGAATCAGAGACAAGAGCGCACAACACAATGGTGAGAAAAAGAAGAGTGAAACTTTTTTTTTTGGCAGTTCTGAGAGTTGGATGCAAGGCTTTAAACATGCTAGACAAGTGCTGTACCACTGACTTACACCACCAGCCCTAGTTAAATTTTTTTTTTTTTGTCTTTTTGAGACAGGGTCTCGCTGTGTAGTTCAGGCTGGCCTTGAGCTCACTTTGTAGCCCAGGCTGGTCTCGAACTCACAGCAATCCTCCTGCCTCAGCCTCCCGAGTGCTGGGATTACAGGTATGAGCCACCATGCCTGGCTAAACTATTTTTAAAGGTCAGAATGCCTAAACATTGCTTAAAAACAAACCCCAATCTGACCAGTTCCCTACTTGTCCATTTGTTCCTACTCTTTCCAGACCAGAACGATACGTGTGTCACAGGAACTGTCAAATCCTCTGGGTCACACTCACAAATCCAAAGGTTAAAGAAACAACATCTGATTTCTGAGACCTGACCTCGGACTGTTCAGAAAGGTTCAGATTATCTCCATTTCTACCTCCCCGGCTCCTTACATAATCTACGCCCAAGAATCAAACAAGGTGGACTTCAGGCAGGATGAAGGAAATTTCCGACATTTTCTCAGCCTCTGATGTCACAAGTTGCCAGTATGTTGTACAAAAAACAGCAAGAGAGTGTTCAGCTCCTGAATCATTTCCTCTCAGGACCAACTCCCACTGAGAGTGAGCCAACGCTAACCCTAACCACACATTCTGAGCCACACGCACATACTCAGAAATATGACATACACTCATGCGCACTCATAGCGCCCACCCTAAACTCCCAAGTGTCAGTGTCATACTAGACATTAGGATACCACTAGATGCTATAGGAGTTTACAAACAATGCTGATCAACCCCTAAAAATATAACCACCCAGGTGGATGTGGTGCTTTCAAATCCCAGTACTCCAGGAGGCTGAGGCAAGAGGATCACAAGTTCAAGCCCAGTCTGGCCAATTTAGTGACTTAGTGAGACCTTGCATCAAAATTTAAAAACATAAAAAGCCTGGCGATTATACCGCACCGTGGAGGCCCGGGGTTCAATCCCCAGAACCACCAAAACATAAAAATAAAAACAGAATACAACCACCTGCAATCTTACCATCTATGAATGCTGGGAGCTAGAGCAGACACATGAATCCTTCTGCACCCCACGTGTTTCGTCAAACGTGTAGAGAAAGGGGAAATATGAAACAGTGCCCTCACGGCTATGGAAGGAATTTCCTGAAGTTTGCTTTGGGGTACCACAGGCAGGAAACAGCCAGGACATTCATCAAAGCGATCATAGCTCACTTTAGCAACCAGTTACCGGGTTCAGAGGTGGGTTGCAGACCAAGTAAGAACAGCAAGAGAAGCCATGTCAGCGCCAGAGCATGAGAAATCCATGCACCGACAGGGAACCTGCCCGCTGGGCCCTCCTTCCCCAGGGCCGGCGGGGGTGCCTGGTTCTGAGACTGTCCTGGCCATACCCATGGACATCATCAGCCCAGTGAAACAGGGTTGCTGAGGGAGAGGCCCAAAGAGAACTCTCAGCCCACTTCTTGTGGAAAAAGTGGTATGTGTGACAAAACAAAACAAAACAAAACACAAAGCATTCAGGGCTTTGCTGCACCTGCGCCTGCTACTAATCACAGAATTGAAATTCAAGAGCAAAAAGGAACATGAAAGATTAACTCAGTCAAATCCACCGAGGTACTGATAAGGAGTCTCAAGTGCGCAGTGGATGAGTGGCTCTGTCATGGTAACAGGAAGCTGTGAGCTAAGCTGACACAGAACCCAGTCTGCTCACTCTCAGCCCCTCATCTCTGGGTCACCCTGAGGCCAGAATGTGAACATCCCGGATGTAATTGTGTTGTCCCTCCAACCTCACTGGTAGATGAAGTGGAGGGAGACAGACTCATATTTCTGCCTGCCTGGCTGCCTGGCCTGGGTCAGGGCCCTCAGGGAGATTAGCCTGAGAAAAGATAGGACACACAGAGACCCCGCTGGGGGCATAGCGCTCTGCTTCACGTCGCAGGCCAGAGTCCAGCAGGGTGCTCTGAGAAGCAGCTAAACTTCATGTGAGGCCCCATCTCCGTGCAGGGGGCCCAGCGAGGCAACCCCAAAAGGAGCCACAGCTGACTGCTCCCCTCCCATGCACATCTGTCACTGAGCACCAAACCACACAGAGATCTCCTCGCCTCTCCTCCCCCACGCTGGTGCCCAGCCAGGTGGTAAACCCAGAACGTGCAGGGAAGTGAAACCCCCACCCCTGAGAGGCAGTGGAAGGGGGAGAGGCTGTGAGGAGGCAGGAGCAAATGAAGGGTGAAAAGAAGGTGTGCCTCAAAATGCCTCCGCTCTCATAAATACTCACGGAATTGCACTCATAGGCAATTGGCACCCCCACCCCAACCTTGCAAGAACCCAGAAAAAGTGAGAGTATAGACTGCACTGCTGACTTCACACAGGAAAAAGACCTGAACTGTGGTGAGCAGAAAAGCCAAAGTCCCATTCCCTTCCAGAACCCAAACAGCTGGCCGAGTCAGTAGATCTCAAACATCTGTTTCTGAGAAATTCTCCTTTTAGCTGGCTCAAGGTGAGATCCACAGATCTCAGTTCTTAACATCCCAGACAATTCCAATACAAACAATCCAAGGACCACTCTAGGAGACGCCCTACCTTATCACTTTCCACAGTTTTCCTGCTGTTGACCAGGGAGTCCTCCCAGAACACTTTCTGCTCCTGAGCATCTCATTTATGTCTCATTTTAAGGTAAAACAAACAAAAGGAGCGTGTACTGAACTGCTGAGTTGTTAGCAAAATGTCCCCTGGGGAAGCCTAGCTTCAGATTCTGGCCCTAGCACACCCACACTGCGAGTCTCTGGGCAAATGACAACACCTTACAGTTCCCTCATGTGTAAAATGGGGCTAATAAAAGTACCCGGCCACTGCTGTGAGGGTCAGTGAGGTAATAAAGTGCTTAGCACACTATGAGGCATGTGCTAAGTGTGCAGTATTTGTTGGACAGCAGTACTTTATTGTAAGCACTTGTTGGTCTCTCCGTGTACCCTGGGAAGGACCGGCAGCAGGAATGAACAAAGATAGACAAGAGACAAGAGCTGGGTCAGGTGGAGGCATCTTTACCGGATGGGTAAGAGGACCTCAACAACAGTAGGGGCGTTTATTTATACCTTTGCAGTTAGTATCACGAGCCATAAGTTTGCCTAGCAATTAATGACTGAATTGTCCAGGCAGGATGCTTTTCTCAAGACTGAGGTAGCTTGATTGTTTTCGGCATTATGGCCTTGTCTTGTCTCCACACATATAATCAATTTCCAGCTCCAGCCACTCCCAACATTTTATATTGTAACAAGAACAGATAAAACTCATTACTATCGAGAAGTGAAGAGGCCAAGTAATTTTGGAGCTGTAGAGAGCCTTCCAAGGAGATTTCTAGATCATGGAGTCCAGTTTTTCAGTTTCATCTTCCTAAGCAACTGCTTCTCCTTTACCTTCCTGGTCTCACCCTTCCCTCTCCTAACCCATGGACACAGTGTTCTCAAACAAACCTCACATTTACACTATACTTTTTATGGTTCCTAATGAATGTTACAATGTTTTATACTGTGTGTATGTTTTAACCTGCCAGTCTTCCTTGTTATTGCTCTCCAAAAGTCCTTCCTTTTCTCTTCTTTCTGCCTTTTCCCTCATCCAGCCCCCTTTATCCAACACTTACTGGTCATTCACATGTGACACCCCCACCCCCAGGCTAAGACTATCTGGCCAAAACCTTGAACAATCAGCAAAACTCCAGACAGAAAAGGTGGAGGAAAGAGCCCACAGCCGTATCCCTTGTACCAGAGGAAGCCAGGCATGCGATTCCCACAGCCTAGACCCTGTGCACGTGCCTCTTTTCCTCCTCAGGCTCCACAGCCCCCTCACTCCCTCTCGGCCTCCTGGGGCTTCTGCTGTGTCCTCCCCAATGCCCATGTGGTAGCTCCACCTGGACGGCCCTTGAGTGTCTCACCTGAACATACCCCAAACTGAGTGTAGCCTTTCAGTCCCTAACCCTCAGCCTCACCTCAGGGCCAAAGACACGGGATCCACCCCACAGCCCAAGCTAGACACAACCCCGAGCCATCTGCAGGGCCCTCCCCACGGCCCTTTCCTCTGGGTCACTCACGAAAACCTGCCACTTCTCCTCAGGTGGCCCTGACTCTCCCTCCTCTCCAAGTGCTCTGATCTCTTGGATCAGGTCTGAGTCTCTCAGGTGGACTCTTCACAGACACAATTCTCCCAACAAACCAGCTGCCAGAGCGTGTGTCCCGAAACAGATGTGACCAGGCCACTTCCCCGCTAGTGACTCCCCACTCATGAGTCCAAACTCCTGAAGCTGGGACTGGAGACTCTCCCAATCTGTCAGGACACCTTCCTGTTACCAAAGAGCCCCAGATTAACACATGGCCAAAAGCATCCCTCACCCCCTCACCCCTCCCCCTCCCCTTCCCCCCTCCCCCCTGCACAAGCCTAAAGGCCACTCAGCTGAAGGGTCCAAGGCACCTGAGTGTTTGTGCCTGCTCATATGGACATTAACAAAATTCCTTTATCTGAGGGTGACTCTTTGGGCCCAGAAGGGGATGACATAGGTTTCACCAAGGAAGAGCAAAGAAAATACACAGACAGAACAGTCAAGCTGTGGGCTTGTTCATCTAGATGCATATCATTCTGCAGAAAGGTCCAGCTAAGGCTCGGAGAAGCAATCCACTCCTTGAAGGTCAGAGCTCAGTCACCAGCCCCAGGACACAGGTCTTGACTCACAATCCCGCTTCTTCTGCCAACAGGCCTGAGAGACTCTCCCAGGCACAACTGCTGGGGATTCCCAGAAACTTCTCCTTTTGCTGGACACAATTCGGGACTCCCACCGCACCCCGACAAGTTTGCAGATGACCTGGAAGGAACTGGAAGGAACTGGAAGGAACTGGAAGGAACTAGAAGGCGTGAGCGCTGGCACCAGTTCAGGGTGGGACTCCAGGGACTGAACACAAGGGCTTTTGACTATAGAAAAAATAGGGCCATTGTCTTAGCGGGTGGAGCCAAGCCCTAGCAGGAGCTAGGAAATCAGTTTCTTTGTGACCAGAGATTTGGACTTGGCCATAGACAGTAGAGGGAGGGACAAGGGCAGAAAGGAACATATACTTTAAGAAAACAGAGTTCTTACCCTTGGGTTTGGTTTTGCTTTCTCACATAGCGCTCTATACGGCCTTCTAAGTCCCGCAAGGCCTAGGAAGACTGGGAAAAGGCGTGGCTTCCTAGAAGGTGGAGGAATCCGGAAGAGATTTAGATGGCTCCATTATGAGGCCATTAGAGAATGAAGCCACTCTTTCAATTCCCTAAGTGCTAATGAAAGAAAAATGAAACAAAACAACAAATTCAGGGCCATATACCCACCTTTCCACAAAGAAACAAAACCCTGAGGTTGAACACAAGGTACCCAGCTAGGGACCAGGGCACTGCCCACTTCAGCGCTACAGGAAATACCAGGAGGGGACAAGCAGAAAAGGCTAAGCCTTGAACAACAAAAACCGCCACAAGAACATTCTCCCCTGCCACCAAATCTGAAGCTACTCGCTATTCCAAGTAGCCAGAACATCTCAGTTCACCCCATTAGAAGCTGCCCCCCACATTCCTTGATGGCTGGAACTGTTTCTACGAGCTTGATCCATTCAAGTGAGGAACCATTTAGACCAAAGCACAAACATCTCATCTCATCCTCAGGACAAGGCCGGCCCTTTTTGCCTAAGCTCCAGCTGTCGCTCTCTCTGTAATTCCCTTCCCTCCTTCAGCCTGAACTTAAATCCATCCTGAAACGCAAGCAGCGGCTCTCTCAGAGGTCTCCAAGGGGTTCTCAGGTTACAATGAAAGGTACAGAGAAAAGTACTGCTATTTATAACATTACAATATAATGATTTTTTTTCAGTCCTAGGGATTGAATCCAAGGCCATGCCTAATTATTTCTTTGGAAATTAACATATAAAGTATGATATGAAAATAACTATCTCCCATCTTCCACTTTTCACCCATAATCTGGACTTAGTCATGGTGGCTTTTTTCTTCATCTCTTTTTCTGTGTGGCAGTCTGTAACCTCTTGGAAAGCGGAGATTACCGGTATTTTTCCCCAGTTCTTACAGTTCTAGAGGTCAGAAATCAGGAGTCCAAAATGAGTCCCTCTGGGCTCAAAGAAAGGCACCAGCAGGACAGTAAATCCTTCTAGATGTCCGAGGGGCAAATCCAACCGCCTTGCCTGATCCAGCTCCTAGAAGCTCCCAAATCCCTTGGCCAGGGAAGTCTTTCTCATCTGTCCCAGACTCTCCTGCACCCCCTCCACTGATACGATCCCTTGTGGTTGCCCTGGGTCCATCCAGATAATCCAGCTCAGTTTCCCCACCCTAAGATCCAAACTTCCTTACATCTGAAAAGTCCTTTCCATCAAGTGGGGGAACATTCACAGGTTCCAGGAGCCGGGATGTGGACATTTTGGGGAGCCCGTTGTTCTGCCTCACACAGGCACCGGTTATAAACTTCACCCACAACAAAAGCTCACTTTGCCTTCCTTCTCTCTCACTCATCTGCTACAGAAGCAAGAAGACAAACTTCGAGGTGAAACAGACGCCCCGCGCCACCTCCTGCGGCCTCATTTCTCATGTGTAACACAAGGATCACTAACTCACCACACCGGGAAATGACAGTAAAGGGGTAAATTAAGATATGCAAGGCTGGTGGGCGGTGAATCCTCGGTAAACACCTTCCGGATCTTTTCTTTCATCCTCCCGCTTCCTCTCTTCCCTGCTCATCTCCGTCTTCTCCGTCTCCTGGCTTCTCAGTGACTCAGTCTCACCCACCGCAGCAGAGAAGGTTGTGCGGCTCACTCTCTCGCGCTTCTGCTAGAATCTTCTTGCGGTGGAACCGGCTGTCTCCGCAAGGCAACCCGCTATATTTATACGGGAGATGTCCAGTTAAAAAAAAAAAAAGGTCCTTTTTATGTTCACATAAAACTTACAATCCTTCCTATTAATTTTATACCCAAGGCCCAGTTATGCCTTTCATTCATTTCCTTATTAGATCCTTCTTCAATCCTTCTCTTTTTACCTTATGAATAAAGGTAGGGCCGAGCAGAAGTAATGACCTGGGGCACACGAGGGAATCCCCCTAGCAAGAGGAATGCTGTTTGCAAAACACGCCGACCTTCTGCACAACCAAATGATTCTAAGACACTCTTCCTAGATTCCCAGGAGACTGTAACTATGGCAGAAGCCACATTCACTCTGGGAACTCCTGAACTCTCTGCTGTCGCAGAGAGGTATTTTGACAGAAGTTGTACCTGAGTTGTTTTCCCTCAGCCCTGCTATTAGAGACAGCTGAGTTAAATAGAAATCCTACAGGCAGTCAGACAGGCCTAGGCCCTCAAAGTAGTTAATGCAGAAGATAACAACACAGGACAACTGTGGCTGGAGGCGCATTCGCTGAGGGCCAGGCCTCAAGATAAAGATGGACTGACCAGGCTACATACCTTCCGGAGGGATAAGCAATAACAACCGGCTACTCTAGACAGGCATCAGTCACCCAGGTGGGTGACCAGGACTTCCTGACCCATTTCTTCCCAAAAAAGATCCTTATTCTTCCCGTGCACACCTGCTATGTGACTCACTTCCCCATATTGGGTCAGTATTACCCAGGGGACTACACTTGTAATCATATTGGTTGATCATAATTTTGCGCCCCATTCTACCCGTATCATGATTTTGTACCCACCTTGGGGTTTTGTTCTATAAAGCCTCTTCGGTAAAGTGGAGCCTACTTTCCCAGTCCCTATTTGTCTCCTTCAGGAGCTGTCGCCACCCCCCCGCCAATAAAATTTCCTACTCTTAACCTCCGTTGTTCCTCAGAATTCATTTTTTTATTTTGGGGAACACAAACTGGGTGCATTGGACATTTAGTGGGTTGGGAGTTACATTTATTTCCCCCGTGTCACTTGGAGGTCCGGTATCACTAACACTCCCATAACTTAAGCCTGTGTCAATCATCTTTACCTCCAGGACCCGAGACAGAAAACACCTCCCTATTCTCCATGACCACTATGGTATCTTAATTATAATAGTTCACACTTACTCAGCATATACTGAGTGACAGTTATTGTCCAAAGGGCTTTACCCGAGCCACTGTCCTCACAAAAAATCTGAGTGTCAGGAGCTGGGGATTTAGCGCAGCCGCACAGCACCTGCTTGGCAAGTGCGAGGTCATGAGTTCGATTCCTGGTACCGGAAAAAAAAAAAAAAAATGCTGAGTGTCATCATCCCCATTTTTTTTTTCTTTTTGAGACAGGGTCTCATTATGCAGTTCAGGCTGGCCTTGAGCTCACTTTGTAGCCCAGGCTGGCCTCAAACTCGCAACGATCCTCCTGCCTCAGCCTCCCGAGAGCTGGGATTACAGGCATGCGCCACCACGGCCGGCATTATTCCCATTTTTTTTTTTTTTGGTTTTTCTCCGGTACCGGGAACCGAACTCACGACCTTGCGCTTGCCAGGCAGGCGCTTTTGCCGCTGAGCTAAATCCCCAGCCCCCGTTCCCATTTTTAAAGACAAAAATAAAAGCAGAGGCAGAGGTTAAGCAATAATGCAGCCACTGTGGCACAACGCCATCATTTAACCTTGCCCCCAAGCAATGTGGTGTCCTAAGATTTCTGAGGTCTCCCACATGAAATCCACTTTCCAGAACAATTTTGCACCCTTTATTTCCAGGATTTGACCAACAGCCAGCTTTTTTGTGTTGTCTCACCTTTCACATACACACACCACACACACAACTTCACAGACCTTCATAACTCTTCTAGGAAAAGGCAGGGTCAGGCTCCCAGTCCTCATAAAAAGTCACTTTTACTGGATTGCCAACTATTTGCACAGCCATTCTCCAGCCATAAAAGGGGTATGCAGCGGAAAGAATGTGGAATGAGAAGGAAGTAACAGAGGGAGAGTCCCTGGAATGATCCCAAAGAGGAGGAGACTCCAAGCCAGAAACAGTAATAAAACACACCCAGAGTTTGTGGCCTTTGAACAAAGGCTACCCCACCTATGTCTTTCCATGCCTGTTGGCATCTGACTTCCTTCTGAACCGTCCCTCCAGAGCCTCGAGACTGCAGACAATAGCGGAGGCCTGGGAGCTGGGGCAGATGGAACACTCAGCCCTGAGCTGCAGGGTGGGGGAAGCAGGAAACGGAGGGCAGAATTCCACTCACACAGGGTCTGACTCACCCACACACACATCACCTGCGCAGGAAGTGGATTTGTGCAGGGTAAGCAGGCAGGACTCGTGGTTTAGGGAGTTTTCACTAAGAAGATACGCTTCCTCGATCATGTCTAATTGAAAGCGATAAAGTGGGTGTGGACTGCATCACGGTCTTCTTAGAAACCCATTGTCCCTCCCTGCTCCCTCTCTTCAGCTACATTCTTCCATCCATAGCTCATTTATTTACCGAGTTGTGTTCCAAGGGGGAAAACAAATCTCAGCTGGATCCCTTACAGTCCCAAGCATTCTGTTCAGTTCAAGAGAAACTTGGGGGTTTAGCTCAGTGGCAAAGGGCCTGCCTGGCAAGCGCAAGGTCGTGAGTTCGGTTCCCGGTACCGGAGAAAAACCAAAAAAAAAAAAAAAGAGGAGCTGTCATCTTTGTGTTGATCAGACATTTTTTGGGGGGGGGGTACCGGGAATCGAACTCAGGACCTTGCACTTGCCAGGCAGGTGCTGTGCCGCTGAGTTATCTCCCCAGCCCCAGATCAGACTTTTTAAAAAAAAAATTTTTTTAAGGGTCTACAGGGAATTTTTGACAAAAGCTTCTCCACTACCCATAATACCTTTGGAGCCAGTGAACCACAGAAATGAAGAGAAGGAGCTCACTATGTCTGGGAGCCCTTCTGTTCACACCTCATCTAAACTCCACAATGATCCTCTGACAGGGCTTATTATTCCTATTACCAAGAAGTCAGTTAAGCTGCTCCTTATCTCTCACTGGTAAAAAGGGTTCACATTTCTGAATCTAAAGATCATGTGTTCACTCCACACCTTGTGCCTACCAGAATTCAAGAAAGAAGAGATAACTGCTTCTAATAAAAAGAATGGCTGGGCGTGGTGGCACACGCTTGTAATCCCAACACTCGGGAGGCTGAGGCAGGAGGATCGCTGGGAGTTCGAGACCAGCCTGGGCTACAAAGTGAGCCCAAGGCCAGCCTGAACTGCATAGCAAGAGCCTGTCTCAAAAAGACAAAAAATAAAATAAAAGAAAAGAAAATAAAGTAATGGCACAAAGCTTCAATGAAGAGACAGGATCTGAAATGGGCTGTAGGACAAAGAATAATTTGGGAGTCAGAACAGAGAGGCAAGGGTGTTCTAGGAAGAAAGAAAGAAAAGATAAAATTGCTTTAAATTCAGAAATGGGAAAATAAAACATGGGTCAGGCCTACTGTGTAGCTCACAGGAGCAGAGTAGGGCTGCTGAGCGGCAGCCTAAGAAACTTGAGCTTCATTCTGTAGATGAGAGGGTAATTGGAAAGCTTTGAGAAAGAAGCTCAGAAAGTTAACTAAACAGCGCTTGCAGAAAGATTGCTCAGAGAGAATTAGGCAAATTGCTACTTGGGGAAGCGGTTCTTAACTTTGGCAACTCTTTAGAATTAACTGGAAGCTTGCTTTTTTTTTCTTTAACGATTCATTTTTACATAATTTCAGACTCTCAAAAGTGTTTTAAACTGGTCATGGTGGCACATGCCTATAACCCCAGCATTCTGGGAGGCTGAGGCAGGAGGATCCCAAGTTTAAACCCAGCCTGGACAATTTAGCAATTTAACAATACCCTGTCTCAAAATTAAAAATTAAAAATTAGGCTTGGCAAAAGAGTCAAAAACATTACATTACAGAGATACATGCATATCCATGTTTATTGCAGTATAATTTATAATAGTTAAATCTTTTTCATTTTTTTTTTT